AGTGCTCTTTGCCTGGGGCATCAGACATATACAAACACATTCCTTCTTAGCTTTTCTAGAAAGGTAAAACTGCTATTGGCCTAATGAGTACAGGACACTCTATTTTATCATATCACATCTCCCCTCTCCTCCCTGAAAGGATCACTATATCTTCCAATAAATCAAGACTACAAAATACATAATGGAGATATTACTTTAGCTCTGCCTTTGGTTCCAGAATAAGAGTGAAATCCTTTTTAATTAATATACTACACCCCCAGATTTGAGTGCTGCCATTTTATTCATGACCTTGGAGGCATGGAGGTGGGCAACACCATCTCATATAGACCCAGCTTTGACTGCTTTAGTAATATAAGTAAACCTAGTTAGGGATGAGACATGGAGGATTGCCTTCTCTGCTTAGTGTCACCTGTTCTCAGATAAATTACTTAAAAAGCTTAAAATATTAGGACAAGGGTCTCAGGACAAGATGTTAGCTAGTGCACTCTCTTCTAATTGGCAAATGTCCCTGGCTTCCCTTTCCCTAGCTCACTGAATAGATCTAGGTAAGTAAAATGACCATTACACATTTTGTAGCTTTGTCTTCACTACAGAACCATCATCTCTGAACTACCGTATGGTCCTTAAGTAATGTGATAAGTGTTCTTGTTGTTTCTAACCAGGTTCAAACTGTCCTTTTCCCAGTGCCACAGTGTCACAGTGAAAATGAATAGGATTGGCTACAATGGACACAAAAAATGTGTTCATACATAAGAACTGTCTGTGTTGTCCACAACAACCAATCAAATTATTCCATTCTGACAACTGAAATGTAAAAAATTGAAGGTCATTGTTGGATACCAAAAAACAGGACTTAATTTATCAAAATGCCTGACATAAGATCTGCCTGTGTTGCTCACAGCCACCAATCATATTCAGACTTGCCCTTTTAAATACTAGCCAGAATCTGAATTTTTGAACTGGATTGGCTGCTATGATGTAGTACAGAAAGTTCTTATTCTAGACTTTGAATGAGACCCAATTGTCCTCTTTAGTATTTTCTTATTTAATTTTATATATACCTGGCCATTCACAAATTTTGATCCTAAACCCATTATGTTGTCAACCATACCTAGTGTTTGTGATTATTTACAAAAGCAACATAAGGGACAATGCAATCGGTGACTGCAGTATACTGTTAATGCAGTAATGCAATTCTAAGCATAGAATGCATAGTCAGGCCTCAACATTGATTTCTGCATATTTCATCTTATACAAACCAAATACTGTATATCTAAACCATATCCCGTTTCACCTGTTGAAGCACCTTCATTTACCACCTGACCTTCAATAAAACCACAGGAGAAAAACAATGTGTATTTTTATATCTTGTAAATTTCAAGGTGGACCAAAACAAAAGAAGATCTCAGAACATCAATATCAATCCTGGTGTATGTCTGAATCACAAACAGTTCTCTTCATAGGAATTTAGGGCAACAATGCCTTGTCCTCAGTTATGTAGAGTGAGCTCCAAGTGAATGTAGTGTACCACAGAGCATCTAGACTCACCATTTTCTCGTCTCCCTAAACAGTTATTTTAGGGAAAGGGTTGAAAAATGAATATGAAATTCAAGAGATAGTCTGTCCAATTCAGGAGCCAGCAAGATTTTCTTTCTGGAGCCAGCTCCATTGACAACAACTAGAGAAAACCTCATAAGTTAGGTGCCTGCAATCATTCTTAAGGAGCATTGGCGACTTGGCTCCTGGGATATACCCAGCCCCCTTGTAAGGCATGCCAACTGTTAAGGTTGCCAATGTGATTATTTTAGCTCTCAACTGAACTTTCAAGCCCCCAAATGGCTGGTGTCATAGCTGATCACATGCGCACCACCATGACAACTGCAATCCAAATAGAGGCTAAGATGGCACCTTCCTTGGTTGTAAAGAAGTTGTAATTCCACTTTACGTTGTGCTCTTATTTACATTGACTTATATAGAGGGAAAACAACAAAAATAGGCATATGTACACAAGCCTTTACCCTCATCCCCCACCACCATTCAAGACCACCACCACTACCGCACTGCTGAGGCCCACCAAGAACATCTGCATTAAGAGAATAGGCTAACCCCCCCCCCCCCCCCCACAAATCCCCAAGTGAACCACAATGCCACAATGGCTAACTGAACAAGTATATTGCCAGAAACAAACATTGCCATTACCACTGTGGTAGGCAGTGGGTTGTCATACCTAAATACCAAGTTGTTGTTAATTATATAAAAATCCTGGGGGCTATACTCTGCGGTAGGGGCAGAATAGATTTATTAGGTGGTAGCTTACAACGTATTGTGTAATATATTGTGTAAAATAACACCTCAGTATATATTACCTGTAGGTGACACAAGTTTACTAGAATAAGCTCCACAATGACCACTAGGTGCATTTAGTATATAATACAGTCAGTCTGCACTCTGGCAGGTTTATTCCATAAAGCAATGCAAACAGCAACACACATCAAGGGGAATTTATCAAAACTGCAGCAGGCAAAATCTTGTGCAGTTGCCAATGGCAACCAGTCAGCTTCTTTCATTTTCATTTTCAAAGCTTCACTGAACAAACTAGAGAAGCTGATTGGTTGCTATGGGCCACTGCTCCAGATTCTGTCTGCTCCAGTTTTGATAAATTACCCCCAATGTGCAGTGGCCATAGAAGCTAATCAGAAGCCCTCTTGTATTGGTTAAGCTCACAAGACAAACAGAGAGTGCTCTACCTCCTTCTTTCAAAGCCATTTCATGGAACACCAGTGTACAGCCTAGGCTCTCACCAGCCATTCCTTATAAATAGTGAAAAAAAGGGTTTGCACACACTTCCGGATCCAGTCAAAACTTCTTTATTTAATCAAGGCATGAAACCAGACATAGCAATCCCACTTTTCCTGTTTTATCATCAGTAAAGTCAATTCTATGTACATTTATATTTCTAGATATGTGCTGGTAAGTATCCTATACAGCAGGGGTGGGCAACTCCTGCCCTCCAGCTGTGGTTTAAGTACAAATCCCAACATGCCTCTCTCTGCCTCTGAGAATCATGGCTATAACTGTCAGTCTTGCAATGCCTTTTGGGACTTGTAGTCCCCCAACAGCTGGAGGGCCGGAGTTGCCCACCTCTGCTATACAGTGACAGGAAACCAGAGGAGGCCCTTACAACCTGCTCTGCCAATCCATTTCTTTTATAAAGTAGTAATCAAGCCATGTCTTTTTCTGGTAAACATTAGGTACATATATAATATAGATGTCAGAATCTGATTCAAGGTCTTCACTGCAAACCAAGAGCTGGTGGACATAGTCGGCACTGCAGAACTGACCCCCCTGTAATGTATATGAGAACTGGAGTACAGGTTATATTAATCAATAACACAACCTATAGAGTGGAAATTCTTTTTTTAGGTGAATTCACATGGAAAATGTTAAGCTTATAAAAAGCAACAGGGTGACTTCATAAAAAGAATGGGCATGGCAACTAACTCACAGCAACCAGTCAGATTCCAGCTGTCATGTTGTCTATGCAGGCTGGACAATGAACCCTGGAATCTGATTGGGTGGAAGAAAAAAACGAGAGCAAATCTACATTCCTTCGGCTTTTATACACACAACACATTTGATGTTTGCAACCCAAATAGCATCCGGTAAAAATGTGCTGGACCATTTATGTTATTTTCTACGAGTGGCCTGTGCATTGTATAAAGACATTTTCCAGCATATAAATCGTATTTATCTCACGGGCTCACTTATTACATAGTGAGATGATATTTTCAGATACGTCCTTGGCTTGCAATATATATTTTGAGCAGAGAATTGCAGGTGATTGCACTAGTACTCTACAAACAGAAAACAAGCTTGTTCCTTGTTAGCACTTGATCCATTACACCTCTCCCTGCTGAACCTTCCAGCCATCATCACTGTGCCAGAACCCCACAGACAATCTATCCAGTTATCTCTCCCTGCGTTGCTTCATAAACACATTAGCTGCCAGAAACGGAATGGAAGCGCAATGGGCGGGCAGAATAGCAGAGTTTGCATCGTCATGCCCCTTGTGGACCATTATTACCCCACCTTTCCCCCCACCCAAACTTGCATAGAATAAATCCATCCCCATTACAATGTCTGACCAGGTGTGACGCCACTATGTATTGTTACAAGTCTGAGCTCAGCAAAAAATGGCGGGTGGGCAATGAAGTAAAATAACAAGGAAGGGGGGGGGTGACATCTAGGCAGTACAGTATGTCATAAACAAAAACACAACAGACACAAAATATTGCTCATATTTACACAATACTGAACCAGGAACTGTACAGCAGCATTACAATTTCTGCCCTAAGAAGAAGACGCCTAGATGGATCAGGGTGTATAACCTGAAAAATGATTTAATGCAATGTTCCGTACATCATCCAGGGATATTTCACCGACCTGACACCCATCACACATGACAGACACATTCCTGGTTGACCTGCATCTCTCACACTGATGCCAATCCAATTTGCAAGGCACCCTAAGACCACTTAGCCATTGACAGCTTGGCCAGACAGGAAAAAAAAAAGACACCAGCAGTTCGACAAATGCCCGCTAGAGCATCTCAGGCCCCTTGCAGCCAAGAAATGGTTAAAAACCTGGTGCAGGAATGTCCCATGGGATTGAGGGAAGGGAGGGAGTCTGAGATGGAAAAGAAGGAGGAAGGGAGGACATTGAAGGAAGAGAAAAATAAGGACAGACACCGGAAATATGGTGGCACATAGCGATAAGAGGGGATTGAGGCATAGCCAACAGCTACAAGGGCAAAGCACAAAAGGGAACCGGTCACATGTCATCCAATGCATGGGATCCACATATACAAATGACAAGGCAAGGAGATAACAGAAGGAGAAGGGTGTATGCAAGGGAGCCTGCTAGTCATCCTTGGGTTATGGAGCTTATAGGGATGTGGAGAATGGAAGGTACAAGGATAGAAGAAGGATGCAGGGCGGTACCTGGCTTTCCTTGTCACTGCTTCTCTTTGCGGTGGTGCATCAAGGCTGGCGTCCCTGTGCTGACAGCTAATGGGAATACTCGAATGCTGTGTCACAGCTCCCAATGTATGTGTGTGTGTGCTGCTGTCCTGAGCCTCCTGATTGTCCCTCCGGGTCCCTGCCCTGCCTGTCAATGCTGGTTGGCTGGAGCTGTGCTGTGGGGGAGGAGGGACGGTCAGGCTGCCGAGGCTGGAATACATAGAGAGACAGAGGAGGATGGAGGAGAGGAGGGGGGAGGAGAGGAAGAGCAGGTGGAGGGAGAGAGACATACTGTATGGGAGGAGACGAGCTGCTGGTGCTGATGAGGGAGCTGTGACGTTAGTGCAGCTATTAGACCATCACTAGTACATAGATGGAGGAATGGACAGCATTAGATAGATAGATAGATAGATAGATAGATAGATAGATAGATAGATAGATAGATAGATAGATAGATAATACATAGGTAGATAGATAGATAGATAATACATAGGTAGATAGATAGATAGATAACAAATAGGTAGATAGATAGATAGATAGATAGATAGATAGATAGATAGATAGATAGATAGATAGATAGATAGATAGATTGTTAGATAATAAAATAGGTAGAAATAGGTCGATAGATAGATAGATAGATAGATAGATAGATAGATAGATAGATAGATAGATAGATAGATAGATACATAGATAGATGGATAGAGGGCTGGATAGATATAAAAAGATAGAGAGAAAATTATTAGCACATTTCATCTTCAAAAGAAAAGAGAAAGGTTAAGCTATAAGCAAACACTTTAAAGATATATACATTGTAGACAGATAAGAATAACATATGATAAATAGATCAACAGATACATCAATAGATAGATAGATAGATAGATAGATAGATAGATAGATAGATAGATAGATAGATAGTAGACAGATAAGAATGACATGTGATAAATAGTCAGCATATACATACGATATACGTAAATGTATTATGATTACTATGAATAAATAAATAATGACGTATTATTAAATATTAGGTATAAATTAAAGTGATCATCAGACTTACACTGCTATTTTAAGGCTAATTCCATCCACAATTCCACGTTCCATGTTACACCTATGTTTAAAGTGACACTAAACTCAGGAGTTAAATCTTAAAAATACATTCAAGTACCCTAAGTATTAACAAAAATGTATCTTATTTGTGTATCACTCGGCTGTAGATCCTCAAATCATCTCTGAATTGGTGCTGACACTGTCCTTCCTTCTGGAGGGTGACTACTTTTGTTCCCCATGGTCCATGTGTGTTGTAAAGTAGCCACCGCTCCAAGCTCACTCCTGTGATGGACTACAATCTCATGTCTAGTTTACTAATTTGTATTGAGATTGTAGTCCATCACAGGAGTGATGTTTGTTTAACTAATTAATGTAAGATGACTTTATATCAGAATGCAGAGCTGCATAATGAGATGATTGTTTGTGAAAGGGGGTAAAGGTCCACTTTAACCCCTTCGCGACCAGTGACATACTTAGTATGTCACTGGCAGCGGGCCCGCTGGGACTCTGTTTACATTTGTAAAGCCGTCTGTCAATAGAAGCGATTCTGGTGACTCAGCTGTTGCCAGATTGCTTCTACGGGCCGGTAAACTAGATGCCCCCCGCCCCATATACCCGCTGTGTTTCCCGGGCCCCGTTGCCCCTCCTGCTGCCCAGGACCGACGTCTCGGGTGTCGTCTGGAAGCTGGGGAGGAGATCGGTGAACATCCGTTCACCAACCTCCTCCCCATTCTGTGGGACCGGGAGCGATGCAGATTACATCACTTCTGTTCCCATGGCTGTCATTGCTGGGCTCCTAAAGCTACTTCAATAGCTTATTTAGAGTGGAAAGGTGGTACTAGGGCCCCAGTATCACCTTAAAGAGTACTTGTCACTGCCAATATGCTATCACATGGGGGGCTTGTAAGCCCCCCTATGTGATAGCAATTAAAGTAAAGCGCAAAAAAAGAAACTAACAGTTTTTAAAAATAATATCAAATGAAATAAATGTAAATGCACACGCGTCATAATGTAAACACATATTGGGTGCACCTACGTACAAAAGCGATGATCACGCTACACATGTTCAGTATCACCGCGCACGCCAGAGTGAGAGCAGTAATTCTAGGGCCAATATTTATGCGTACCTCAAAACCGATGACCTGTAGAGGCTTTTAAAGCGTCGTCTATGGACTTTTTGGGGTATTTTGTTGCTGTTTCACAGATGTGCACAATTTTTAATCTGGGCATGTTGGGTATCTATTTACTCGTTGTAACCTCATCTTTTATATTTTATTAAAAACATGGGTATTTTGTTGTGTTTTGGGACACTAAATTTAACTTAAGTGCATTTTTCACAAAATCTTTGAGTTTGGTAATACGTTGTGCTAATATTGTGCAACATAAACATTTGCAACTGCCACCATTTTATTCTACAGGGTCTTGGCTTTCATAAAATATCTAATGTATGGGGGTTTGAAGTCATTTTGAAGTAATTTTTTTGAAGTAGAAGTAGTTTGAAGTAATCAGGCCTAAAATGTGGATTATAACATGGTTGCAAAAAAAGAAAAAGAAAAAAAAAGGCCTTGGTCATTAAGGGGTTCATGCAGTGCCTTACACTTCCCAATTACACACTGAAACATGCGCGGTCTTGGACTTCATTGTAATTGCTTTGGTCAAACCTTAAATATCAAAATCCAAATATTATGCCACCCTCCCTTATTGTATGTTCGAGAAATGAACACATATACAATATGCTGTACACATACTGTAGGGAGTCCCCTTTTGTTATTTGGAAAGGAAATCATTTAGAACAGACATACATTTTCAAGGTGAATTTAGTAATTGTGGCAATAGCAAAGAGAACTTGCCACGTATAAAAAAATTGGATAGTACAATCTTCTAAGTTTAAGTAGAACTGTACAAAAATGTAAAGGCATGTGGGCTCACAAAAGATCCGATGCATTCATTAAATTTGGATGAAGTCATATGAAATATTGATTGATAAGAGTGAAACGTAAGTAAATAGTAAAGCTGACCATGCATGCTACAGTTTGGCAAGACTATTTCCTTTACACTTACCATCAACTACAGTATGTAGTGGGAGATGTGCCTGTAGACTGGAGGAAACACAACTCTACACAAGTTGCCTTTTTCTAGGGGAGGTGGAAGTGACCTCACAGTTACACACTTCTGTTTCAAAGTTTTTATGAAATTTTTCCAGTAGAAAATATAAAATACAAACATAAAGAAGACCATTTAAAACAAACTTTACACAAGTTATAGGTGGTGGACAGGATATAACAAGGAACACAATATATAAGTAGCATTCAGCTTCCCTATGGTCATAGTTATTAAAGGTATCTAATGAAACAAAATTATGAAGTAACCGCAAGGGTAAATGGCACTAATTTCCACATAGTCCAGAATGAGGGGTGGATGTCTTCATCAGTATGGTCCCATAAATTAAACATCAAAGATTTCCAAGAGGAGAAAGAGAAAAGGGGAAGGAAAAAGCAAGACAAATAGAAGAATAGAAGAAACAGAAAAGGTGGATCTCACAGCCTTACCATCGCTCCCCAATGATCCCAAAAGGCAGCCTATGAAAGACTTAACAAATCCCTCTAGAGCTTAATCATCCCCGCAAACACTTTTTAATGTTCTTATATGCCACATGGGTGGACTCTACCTCCATTCCACATTACCTCCAAAATGCATAGGAAGTTGGTGGGATTAAGAATGTAATCAGGAAAATTAATAATAAACACTGATAAGCATGAGATGGTCACATAGCCCACCAACTATAGGTAACATGGAGGTGTTTGCAGTAAGTAATACATAGAGACTTAAAATTCTTCTTTTGATTTTTATGGATTGTAGCTCTCTAATAATGCAGAACAATTGTTATGCAGCATGCTGGTGTTTTTAGATGGCTACAGGGCTGTCCCTATAATGAGGGATTGCCTCAGGCGGCATCTCATTGGGGGGTGACTGGGTGGTGGGAGGGCAGCCACAGTGTCACAGATTGCTAAGAGCCTGTGACGCTCGGTATGGCATCCTACCCAGCTCACTGGCGTCACCGGACCAGTTGACAAGAGCTGAGCAGGACACTCTGGCTTGTGTTCTGCTGAGCTCCTGGCAACTAGTGACGTTAGTGAGCTGGACAGGATGCCAGACAGAGCCGCTGACAGCTATAGCTATGATTATGCCATTGGAAAGGCCCACTTTAGCCCTACATAGGTACCTGAAAACTTGCTAAAACTATATGGTCTATTCACAAAGCTGCCGTAGGCAGCCGAGTGAATAACCGACCCGAACTGAAGTGAGCCGAACGCTGTTCAGCTATTCACTTCAGGCTTGTACGGCTGATTTCAGCCATGCACCGACTAAAATCAGCCGTACATCGGGTGGCTGCGGCTGGGGGATATTGGCTATTTCACTTTGCAATAGCCAATAGCAAGCTAGCTATTGCACCCGCCCTTTGCTGCTGTCAATCACCAGATGGGTGACACGAGAGCCAGTAAACAAGACCACACGGAAATGCAGGTAAAATAAAGTTGTTTATTTAAAGGAACACAAATAAACATTCATCAGGGAACAGTAGCAGCAAGGTCAGGAAAAAGCCGGTCAAGTCCAATGCGGGTACATCTGCCGATGCGTGGTCGAGAGTCAGAGGAAACGTCAGCCAGGTCGGATCATACACAGAAACACACAAAGGAACTCAGACTGCCAGAGATGCACCTTGGAGCACAAACGCAAGGGCAATGAACCTGAAGCCTGAGCAGACTGATATAATCAGGTGTTGCCACATCATCGATGCAATCAGAGGTTATAAGAGACTGCAGTCTGCACATGTCCAAAATGGCTGCCACCATGAGGACAAGGTAAGACCTTGACAGTACTCTCCAGTGGCGTAACAACCGGGGGGGCGGCCGGTGTGTCTGCTCAAAAAATTTCTGCCCCGGGCGTCCAGAACTCTGGTTATGCCACTGGTACTCTCCCCTCAATGGCCCCTCCTCGCAGAGCGAAAAAGCGTGGAGAAGGGCGGGTGCACGAGCATGGAAAGCGTGGAGAAGGGCGGGTGCACGAACATCAGCGGAGGAAACCCAGGAGCGCTCCTCGGGACCATAACCTCTCCAGTGAAACAGGAATTGGACTTGACCTCGGAGCAGACGAGAATCCAGG